GTGTTAGTGACTTAATAAGTACATAACTATAATGTAATAGCAATGAAACTTCACTAACCTCCAGTGTCTCAATTTGTTTATTGATATTCGACACCCCCTTGATCACCTGCTCAGCCTCCTCCATTCGCTTAGTCAGCCTTCGATCTCTTCCTGGACACCAATCACCCAAGGCAGGCAATAATGGAACCCATCAGCCTTGTTTACAACATAAACAAAAATCAGAAACGCATTTGTGCAACATAATTTATAAGAACATAATTTCAGATTGAGACTTACCTCGTAGTTTTTGCAGGTCAAGAAGCGCTTCCCAGGAAGAGTGTCGTAGTCCTCCTTCCCTCGAACCTCGTCAATGATTCTCCCACCACATGGACACCTTCTCGGAATACCGTATTCCGAATCGGCCACGAACCCTAACATGTTGATGTAATCCTTTTGCCTCTTTGAATGTCTTCTCTCTTCTGCGGGATCCATCTGTACCAGAAATCAAAATGATTAGAACATAATAACGAAACAATATGATTAAACGAACCCTAAATCGAACCCTCATGAAGATTTACAACCATAAAACGAAACCCCCAAATCGATTTAGAACCACAACTCGAAACCCCTAACTCGATTTCAAATCACTGATAAACGAACCCTAAATCAAACCAACATGAAGATTTCCAACCCTAAATCGAAATTCACATATTGATTAAGAACCCTAACTCGAAACCCCCAAATCGATTTCAAATCACATAAATCGGTTTCGAGCCCAAAAACCGACTCTATTAGACCGTGACTCTCCTCGATATTGACCTGAGCTCGTGGAGAAGACAGTTTGTCATCGATTAGATGGAGAAAAGATCTGGGAGTCGGCATCGCGCGATAAATCGCCTCGGAGAAAGAAACCCTAGTTTTTTTCAGAGAGAAGAGAAATGAGTCGAGTAACGCGGACGCCCTACTTTCGTCGTCGTCAACGCGGAAAGGACAAGCTATTGAGTGATCGACGCGTGGCTTGAACCCGCTGCATACGGGTTCACTCGTAAGACCCAGTTCACCAAAATAAACCCATTTTTCATTTTCTTTTATCATTCCGGGCTTATGAACTCGAGCCCATAAACCCTATTACATCCGCTAATGGAAATGCTCTAAGAGTGGCGAATAATATATGCTACCTAAAGAAAGAGCAGGAAAATATTTTAAAAACAGTAGAAGTCCTTTTTTTTTGTTCTTAACCACGTGAAATATTAAGACAGTAAAGAAAGAAAATTTGCCGCTTGAATGTTGGTTGAGGAAAACATTCCTTCTTATTTTCATTTTTAACATGCATTTTCGCTATGTTAAAGTTCACTATTTTTTTGTATACTTTTATCTATTATGTGTATGTTGAAACCACTAAACTATCCCAACCCATTTAAAACATATGAAATTGATTGATAAAGTTGTAGATAATCATAATCTTAATGTTTTTTATATATGCCTTTTATAAAGTTGTTATTGCACATTTTATGTTTTCATCATCATTGTAAGATTCAGATTGGGCTTTCAAATTAAAGTTAATTGGTTTAAAGTTATAAGTCCATAATAATCATCAATCTAACATATTATCAAATACTAGATACTACAACTTGAATTTTTAATTAATACTAGATCGCGGCTAGTCTTTTAAACAAATTTCCAATCATATTGTTTTTAAATATAATATATTGCATAATTAAAAAAAGAAGAAATAGAATGTTAAATTAAGTAGAAAAAGATAAAGATTGACAAAATGATTGTAATTAATGCAAGTAAGAGTTTCATAAGTAATAATAATAATAAACAAATTTTTATTATAAAATATAGATTTTCTAATTTTTTTTAACAAAACCCTCATTTTAATTTTGGTATAAATAACTTACATAATAATTACTGTAATATTTTAATCTACAATTTTATATTTTCTATCTTCAAAATGTTGGTAGAAAATAATAACTAATAAAATCTGAAAATTAAGTATATAAAATGAATTAAATTTTATTTAAATTTAAAATGATATAATATAAATTTAAGATTGTATATATTTTGTTGTTAAGAGTAATGTTTATTTATTCTATTTATTTATAAACTGGATGATATTAATTTATATTTACCATCAATATTTTGAATACCAAACCAAACATTTACTTGACACTACAGTTAGGTCAATGGTCACACAGTCCAACTGGATTATAAATTTAATTTAATATTAAATTAAATATCTATATATATATATATATATATATATATATATATATATGTATAACTATAAAATTATTTTATAAGAATTTTTATCATTGTTTGAAGCTAAAATGATATAAAAATAAAATGAAAACTTCAAAATAATATAAAATATAAAGAAAAATAATTTATTTAAATATGTATTAAGAACATTACAAGTTTATATGATAGTATTTTTAAAATTTACATTTTCTAACTTGAAAAAATCCAGGTTTTAATATCAAACTGGACCATCGGTTTTAGGGAGTGACCGGTTAGCACAACTCAAAATTGTTTAGAATAGAGAGAGTCATGATCCAACTGCCGCTTCCAGTTTTTAAAACACTTCTTGTCGCAGAACATTGCTTTTAATAACAAACAACAAAATCATTTTATGAGACATATTTTTATTATGAACTTGTCAAAAAACATATACATATTTAACTAAAGTTGTCATTTATTGTTTAACCATTTAAAAATAATAATTACCATCTTAATTTTTTCTGTTTTTCAAGTTTCAAAAGACTATGCAATATGAACCAAATTGTATGCATGGAATAGATCAAGAAATGATAACACTGCATTTTCTATTCTTTTATGTCATCGACAACCATCATAGATACCCCTTTTATAATAGCATTTATAAATTCTATAAAATATACAAATACGATAGCAATATTAGAATGATAATATTAACTTAACTATAGCACTACATTTTTTTTATAAATTAATTTGATTTACATATTTGTGCAATCCCTTAGTTATTATTTGAGAAGTGACTTTGGCACTTGATGCTAATTATGATATAGACATTAACATTAATTATTGTTTTATATTTTTGCTAAGTTTCTAAAATATGGTAATAACTCATATATCATCACTAATATAATAATAAATAATATAATAGTAAAATAAAATAGAATAACATTTTAAAAAATTCTTAAATTTATTTTTATAATTTTCTAATTTATAATTCTTATTACTAAAAACAAACTTCAGAAAAAAATTTAGGGGGAATTGCCAAAACCAATCCAAATATTCATTTTAACCCTAAAGGTGTACCCATTATTCAATCAATTGCAAACCCAACCTAAATGGGTGTTAAAATTACTATTTAACCCTTATGAACAAAAAAAAAACGTGGAATATATTTTACGATTCTGTCCTTCGTAGATCTACACTTTAAGAAAGAAGTCTACAATTAGGTAGACTTACATTAACGTCCACTGTGTAGACTAAGGTAGACTTATTATTTAGTCTACATTTTAATTTAATCAAATAATTTAATTTTAAAAATGTAGAAAAAATGTTTTTGGTAATTTTTTTTTAATAAATCATCAATTTAAAGGTTAGTATGAGGTATATAAATTAAATTTTCATATAATTGAACAATTTAAAAGAATGTATATTGGTTTGGGAACTATGTGGTAGACAATGTTAATGGTTTAGCAACCAAAGGTTCTAACATGTTATGTCTTTTAGAGTTAGATTCTTAGGGTTAGATTCTAGATTTAGAATTATTTTGTTTTAATGATTCAAAATTGCATATTTAATGTTGAGTAGTTTATATTTAGTATATATGATATTTGGTACAATGACTAAGATTTTTTTATAATCAATCAAACGTTTAGGGTTTGAGATTTGGGGTTTAGGGTTTGAGATTTCTGGTTTAGGGTATAGTAGACTTACAGTTAAGTCTACTTATATGTAGACGTCTATTTCAGTCTACGTTAATTTGTGTTTATCAAAATAAATTATTTTAAAATTAAAATTAACTAAGCGGAAATGAAAATGAATTTTGGAGCCTATTTTTTCATATTGGCGCCAATATTTAGGGTATAGTAGACTTATAGTAAAGTCTACTTATATGTAGACGTCTATTTCAGTCTACATTAATTGGTGTTTATCAAAAAAAATTAAAATTAAGATTAACTAAGCGGGAAGCGAAAATGAATTTTGGAGCCTATTTTTCTCTATTGGCGCCAATACTTACGGTAAAGTCTACTTCGATAGTAGACGTCTCTTTTAGTCTACTATAATTGGTGATTACAAAAAAAAAAAATTTAAAATTAAATTTATTTATTTATAAATTAAAATGTGAATTAAAAATTTATCAACCAAAAATATATACTAAGTCTACTAAATATATAATGAAAAGAAAATTTTTTAGATTATAGATTATAAACTATTTAAAAATAAAGAAAAATATTATAGTAGACTTCTTTGAAAGTCTACCTAACCTAAAGTTTTAACCAAAATAATTTTAACCAAACCAAAATTAAACCAAAGAGTTTTAACCTAACCAGAAAAATTACTTACCATATAAATACTCTTTCTTATTAAAAAAAAGGCGACAAAAAAAAAGCTGCCTCTCTCTCTCTATGTCTCTCTCGCTCGCTCTCTCTCTCTCTCTCTCTCTCTCTCTCTCTCTCTCTCTCTCT